CCTCCTTAATGAAATTGGAATGCCAACATGTCATGCATTTATGCAATTTAGTTCAACAAATAAACCATTCAACCCATATATATGTGCTATGTGCTAGTTCTGAAAGTGATAATTAAGTAAAAGATACACTTGCCTTAAGGAGCTTACAGCCTAAGAGACACAAAAGCAAATATAATCTTCTATCAATGCACTACGTACCTGAGACACAGGGATGCACAGTGTGCTGGACAGCACAGTGGACCAAGCATCTTCCTCATCACACTCACCAGTCACAGGCCCGACCATGTGTGTCTCGGGCTGAGGACCAGGAGAAGCAGCCTGAGAAACCTGGAAACCCCTTGCTACTTCCTCCTTCTTTGTTGCCACGGCTGCGATGACTAATATTCAGGAAAGCTATAGTTATAGCACCTGTTGACCGATATTAGAGGAAGTTTTCTGTGTTGCAAATAGAGAACATGTTAAGGAGGCTGGATTCAAATGGATCCAGGTTTCGATATCTTCCTCCTTCTGTTTCAGCAGACAAATAATCTGTTGCAACTTTGTGCTTCTCTCCCCAGCTTGGCTCTGCTCCCAGGCACCATTTTGCTGTAAGGGATGCCCACACGGATTTGCCAGCGTCAGTCAAAACAGGCCGGGCACCCACCCGCCCGGCTTCCAGCCTGCTGGCACAGCTGCTGTGAGGGAAGCTCTCTGCACCCAAGACAGGGGGATGCTTTCCCTGTGACAGATTGACATCACTAGAGAAACAAGCATTCCACACCGGGGGGGGGGGGGGATTGGGGGGGGGGGAAAAGGGGAGGGGAAAGAAGGAAGGAGGGAAGGAAGGAAGGAAGGAAGGAAGGAAGGAAGGAAGGAGGAGGGAGGATTAGAAGTCACTTTGTTCTTCTATCCATGTGGCTATTGTCTAGCTGAAATGTTGGTGAGGAGGTTGGTGGGAGCCTAGTACCCAAGGCGCAGGGTTCTCCTCCCCTCAGACTGTGACTGTGAAGGGGCAGCTGCTCTTTCCTGACCTCAGGTTCCTCTGCTAGGAAAAGGCCTTGCAGGTGTGCTCTGGGAGGCAGTGTCTGTAACGCAGTCAAGGGCATTGTGAGGTGGGAGGCCAAGGGAGCAGACATGTAGGGAAGGGGAGGGAAGACACACTTGGCTTTCCCATGTGCCCAGTTATATGAGGGGCCTACGCTAGAAGGTGGGATGTGAGGCCCTCAGGTAGTTACCTGCAGCCTCTGTGGTTGCTGGGAAGCTTGTGGCTGACTCGGCTGCAGGGGCTGGATGCAGGTTCTTCAGAGAACAGAGCCGTCTCTAGGCAGGCAACCTGTGACCCACTCTTACTCATAATTTGTACAGTTAACGTAAAAAACAACATTCAAACCTGTAAAGAATTTTGTGAGTTTATTTGAGCCAACTGTCAACAATTGCCGGGAAGCAGTATCTCAGCGGATTGGGATAATGCCCCGGAGAATGGGGAGTTTATACCTTGTTTTCATAAATTACCATCGAAAGGAAAAGACATAAGTGGGTCACATGGAATCCATTGGTGATAGATTAGGGAGGTGGGAGAAAGCAAAGCGGGGATTGGATAAAAAGTGAAATGATGGACATATGCTTCTTTTATAGAGATGAACTTAGTTAACAGTGGATGATTAACATAACAATAACAATGAGGGAATGCCCTGGTGCCATTTGTTGTGCCCTGAGGGGTCTGGCAAAAGGGAAGTTACAAGTTCCCCAGACATTTCACAGGTATGCTATTTTAGATGCAAAAAGACAATAGGCTCAGTAAAGATCTAAGTTGACCTTTGTCGGGGAAAATACTGACCTAGGACATGACTACCCCTATAAACTGCTTTTAGTTAATATTTAATTCAGACCACCCTTTGTGGTTATTTTAGGTCTTTTAGTTTGCAAGATGGCCATGCAGGCCTTCCCTGAACTAGTCAAGTTAGCATGTGCGCTCCCCCCTTTTTTTTGTCCATAGTGCTCAGATTCCTTTCATCAAAATAGCAGCCTCAGGAGGCGTCTTTGATTCCCAGATTTTGTGTATTGAGTCCAACATAAATGTTAGTCACTCTCACTGATATAGCAAGTCCAAAAATTGGAGAAAAATTGTGCAAAGGAGAAGCAGAGGAAGAGAATAAGAAATACATATATCTAAGGGGTGAAGTTGCACATAAAAATATGGCAAAAAAAATTAGCATCGAAAGATGTCTTTAAGCCCTAGCCCAGTGGTTCTCACCCTGGGGGTTGTGACCCCTTTGGGGGGTCAAACAACCCTTTCACAAGGATTGCCTATGACCATCGGAAAACACATATATAATTACATATTGTTTTTGTGATTAATCACTATGTTTTAATTATGTTCAATTTGTAACAATGAAATTGGGGGTCACCACAATATGAGGAACTGTATTAAAGGGTCGTGGCATTAGGAAGGTTGAGAACCACTGCCCTAGCCAGTTTCACGTAGTAGATAGTGTGTCAGCCTGTGGACTGAAGGGTCCTGGATTCGATTCTGGTCAAGGGCACATGCCCAGTTGCAGGCTCGATCCCCAGGAGGGGGCGTGCAGGAGGCAGACAATCATGATTCCCTCACCATGGAAGTTTCTGTCTCTCTCACTATCTCCATTCTTCTCTGAAATCAATAAAAACATATTTTTTAAAAAATGATAGTAAAGGAATATTATGAACAATCTATGCCCACAAATTTGATAAGATAAAATGTCCAATTCCTTGAAGTATACAATGTGCCAAAACTCACATTAAAAAAAAAGAGAAAAGAAAGATGTCTTTAAGGATGACAGGTTAGATCAACCGATGGACTTATATGCATGCATATGGGGGATTAAGAGATCAACCGAAGGACTTATATGCATGCATATAAGATTAACCAATGGACACAAGACACTGGGGATGGGGGGGGTAGGGGCTGGGGGAATGTCAAGGGGGGGAAAAAAAGGAGACATATGTAATACTCTTTTTAATACTTTAAGAAATAAAAATTATTAAAAAAAAAAAGGATGACAGGTGTCTTAGAGCCTCACAGACACGTGCCGTCTGGATCCTCATTTACAATGATCATTTCCTGAGACCTCCAGGCCACTGTGCCATCTACGGAGGAAAGTGTATCGCCAAGCAAGGAAGTTACTACATATTGACCAACTGCTGTTTGTCAGGTGCTGTGCTGGGTGCTTCATATGATGACATGCCTATAATAGCATGTTGCAGAATTTACCAGGCGACCAGAAAACACACAACCGGTACTCAAAAGATTCAGTCAGGAAAAAACCTTTATTTGCAGATGTACTAGTACAGTGACTCAGGGGAGTCAGTTTCCAAAGCCTGAGTGATGAATATGAACGAAGCCTTCCCTTTATACCCTTAGTTTCTTTGTCCCCCAAATATGGATCAGGCTTCCAGACTTTTCACCGGCTTTGCAGCTCCCCCTACTCGCCAGTTAGTTGGGATGGGGGAGGGGAGATTACATTCAGAGGCTTGGCCTATCTGGTGCCAGAGCTGCCAACCCTCTCCGGGGGGTGTGTATGGTTCATGGTTTATGGCCTCTGGAAAATGGGAGTATTCCAGGAAAAAGGCTCTGAAAGACAGGACAGGCATCACAGATCAGAATGGAGTTAATTATCAGCTAGCAGGAGTGCGTCAGAAGGCAGATTACTGGCACGGATTCAGATGGCTAGCCCCCAAAATGTCTTATTTTCCCTTTCAGCACAAGATGTAGGTCTCAGACACTTTGCTATGTCCATAAAGAAGCTGAGGCTCAGTCTGTCTTAGGTCACAGGATTAAGTGGCAATCCCAGGCTTCCACCCCAGTTCTGTGTAACTACAAACCATCTACACAAACTCCTGCCATCACCAGTCTCCCCACAGAGGGCTCCAGGCTGCTAACAGGGACAGGCAAGATGAAGCCTATCTGTAAATCTTATGACTTTACCAATGGGCCAGGCTGGGAGGAGGGAACTAGTTCTGCCAAAGGCTCCAATAGGCAAGCCATGCGTTGCACTTACATGTTCATTGTGCTAATTAGTGAGTTCCTTGGTGCCTCTCTAGGCCTGTCTATCACTTTTGCACAAAATATGCATTCTGCTTATGTTCTGGTCTTCAGGCAAAGGACTCATACTTGCTCACTGGACATATCAAGTTCCTTTCTCTCTGCTATTCCATGTTCATAAAAGCATTTGATGGGGACCCCTTGGTGATGGTGTCCACGGTCATGGGACCTAGTCAAGCATCTGCAGGAAAGTTGCAAAGAAAAGCAACAGTCAGCTTTTCTGTTTCCCAGTGGACTCCTTCCTCTGAGACCAACATTACAGGAATCACTCTCATAGAGGCTTCGGTTTCAGTGCAAGCCTCCTAGTGTTCCTTGATTTTTACAAAAACCAATCAAGGTTTAATTATTTTCATAAAAGCACTATATCTAAAATAAACTTCAGATAGGCTTTTTTTCTTATTATTTTAGTTTATGTATTTTATCTCTAAATTATGCTTTTATCTTTGCTCTATGCAAATGATTTTGTTCCCAAGTACAACTAAGGGTATTTTATCAGGGAAAAAAGGTGCAAATATTGCTTTTTATAAGCAGAAAATTATATGTATGAATTACTAAACTTCTCAGACTCTCACCTTACTCATGAGTGGACTGAGAGCTTGTGGGAATTTTAATCATTGTATATAAAGTATCTAACATGATGCCAGATATATAGTGGGTATTTGAAAGTGTTAGCTCTTATTGTTAATACTGACATGACTTGTCTAAAGAATAACATAATAAAGATAAAAGAAAAATATTACCACTGTAACTTCTGACCCTTACTATATTATTATTTTCATACCCATGGATTCCTCTTACCATAGATTATTGACTACAGAATAGGTTTTCTATGATATCTGTCATCATCTATTTTCATCTATCATCTATCTATCTATCTATCTATCTATCTATCTATCTATCTATCATCATCATCATCATCAAACAAGTCAGAATCAACCACTGTGCTGGCATGAGCACAGCCTTTCTCAGGGAGAGCACTACTCACAGCTCTTGCTGACACACCCGAGAAGCATCCCCAGAAAGCCACGTTCTCAGCCAAGTGGTCCTGTTTCCAGCTTTGCCAAGTGAGGCCAGGAGTAAACAGCTGACCTGAGCGTGCCCGATCCATGGGCTACGGTGGCCTGTGAAATCTCTGAATCCTACTCACGATAGGCTATGCTAATGAGAGTCCCTCAACTCTCAATTAGTCTTGGGAATGGTGAGGAAGGTTAGGCTACTGCCAGTAGTAAGTGCTGAATTTTTAGAGGAGACGCAGATCATGAAGTAGAGTGAGACTGTAAAACATGTTTTTTTAAATCCCATGCACTGTGTCCTCCTCTCACAACCACGAGGTCCTCTGTGAAGCTCCGATGCCCAGCCTCCTCTCTCATGCTTGTCATGTTCTGCGGAACACCCAGTTGCCTTACAATCTACCTGTCAATTCCCCGTGGCACTTGCTGCTCTTTTACTCAATTGCCAAAGTGGACCCTGAATTTCTCTGTGAGGCTTGCAGCTCTCAGATTGCGTAGGGTAAATTAGAAAGGATCCCCTCTGCTTTCGAATCCTGTCAACGTTTCTGGTATTTCTTTATTATTCCCGTTACCTTCAACCACAGCCACCTCTGAGGACTGAAGAGCATCGCAGCTAACCCATCCCCTCTTCCTTCCTTGACTGAGCTATGTTCTCGTGGAATGCTCTCTAGTGTCAGCCCACAGTCTTGCTTACATTCTAGCCCAGTGGTCGGCAAACTGCGGCCCCTTGAGTGTGGCTCTTCCACAAAATACCATGTGCGGGCGTTCATGTACAGTGCGATTGAAACTTATGGCCACACTCAAGGGGCCAAAGAGCCGCATGTGGCTCGCGAGTCGCAGTTTGCTGACCACTGTTCTAGCCTATGTGATGTGTATATATTGTGGGTTTTCGTTTCTTTAATTTTTAGTGGTTGCTCTCATGTTTGCAGCAGACATTTATAACTATTCAGGTTCACTTTCCAATCATACTGTACCCCTTGATGGGTAGTACAGATACCTTATAACAGAGTATTCCCAATTTTCCCCTCCCATCTCTTATACCATTGCTGTCATTGATTTCACTTATCCATAAACTATAATCTCTGAACACATTGTCACTATTCTTATTTTGGACAAACTTTCATCTATTAGTGCAATTACAAATAAGAAAAAAATGTTTTATCTTAGCTTCACTTACTCTTCCCCTTGTGCTCTCCTCTTTATGCAGATACACCTTTCTGACCTCAATAAGTCTCCTTCTCTTTGAAGAACTTCCTTTAACATCTTACAAGGCAGATCCACTTGCAACAAATTATCTCATTTTTGGTTTGTCTGAGAAAGTCTGTATTTTCTCCTTTATTTAGGAATAATAAATCACTGGATACAGAATTCTAGTTTGGTGTGTGTTTTTTTCTTTTGACACTTTAAATATTTCATTCTACTCTCTTCTTGGCTTCATGGTTTGTGAAGAATAGTTTGATGTCATTCATATCTTTATTTCTAAGTGAAGTGGGGTTCATCCCCTCTGGCTTCTTTCAAGATTTTCTCTGAGTCTTTGATTTTTTTGCAAATTGAATATGATATGCCTATATATGTGTATATATATATATATTATCTATCGATAGATAGATAGATAGATAGATAGTATTTTTTTATAGTTGGTATTCTCTGAACTTCCTAGATTTGTTGTTCACTTTGGAAAATTATTTCTTCTGGTCCTTTTTAAAATCTTTTTCTTCTCTTATTCTTATTATACTTATGTTACACCTTTTGTAATCATCTCACAATTCTTGGATAGTCTGTTCCATCCTTTTCATTCCCTTTTCTCTTTGTATTTTAGTTTTTGAAAGTTGAAGTATTGATCTATCCCTAATTTTATTGATTCATTCTGTGGCCATTCTGATGAGCCCATCAAAGACACTCTTCCTTTCTGTCACAGTGTTTTTCATTCCTAGCCTCTCCCTTTGATTCTTTCTCAGCTTCCATCTCTCAGCTCACAGGACCCACCTGTTCTTGTTAAACTGCCTTAGCTCTTCTGCATTTACAGAGGTCAAATAATATTTTTCTATTTAAAATACTTAGTTCTTGTGAGAAAAGGTATGGCTTTCAAGATTATTTTTCCTGCTCCAGATCCACCCAAATGGACTAAGAGCTGCCAAGTGAGGAGTGTAGCACTTGGTTTGGTATTAGCCCTACCTTAAGGGCAGCACTAGAACAAGTTGAATTATTACAGGATGGGAGCGAGACGTAAACAGGCTTCAATAGCAAACTCTCCTCCTACCACATGTGGCTCCTCCCAGGGTTTGTAACCCTGGAACACAGAGCTCCCCACTGCACTTCTGGCTGAGGAGAAAGGAGCCCCCATCACTGTGCAGGTGAGACAGAGGGCACCTTCACCCAACCGTGGGCATAGTCACAGTTCACTTACCCACTTACTTGGTTGATCAATTTACACCTGGTGGTTATAATAAATAGAAAGAAAGCCAGACATACTCACCCCCCCGTTCTCTGAAAAATAAGAGAAATTTAATGTTGACCTCAGGATTGAGTAAAACTAATTGATTTGGCAGCTAATGAAAAACTCCCAAGAGAAAATCAATATAGAAAAAAACAATCCAGCCTTAGCTGGTGTGTCTCAGTGGATTGAGTGTCGGCCTGCAGACCAAAGGGTCCTGGGTTTGATTCAGGTCAAGGGCACGTACCTCAGTTGCAGGCTCCTCCCAACCCTGGCCCTGGCCTGGGCTCATGCAGGTGGCAACCAATTGATGTGTTTCTCTCACATCGATGCTTCTCTTGTCTTCCCCTCTCTCTTCCACTCTCCCTAAAAATCAATGGGAAAATATACTTGGGTGAGGATTAACAAAAAAAAAGAAAAAAATAATCCAATGGGCAATTCTGTAGGCTGTTCCCCCTCAGTGTGTAGCCTGTGTTGCACCAATGTCACCAATTTTAGAAGAGAATGTTACCAACTACAATGCCTCTGTTGGTATCTCAACACAAATGCCCTGGCATTCTTGGTTAAAATGATAGAAATATGTGTTCAGGTTCTATGTTACTTGGACCACTGTGTGTCTCTTTCTTGGTGTCCATTGCTTTACACACAGCATCAGAGCTCTCCATCACAGTGCACAAGGGACGTCGGTCCTCTCTGTGACTGGGTCTTCTCTCGGTGCTTTTGTTTAGGAAGTTTCCCCACTTTGACATCAGGATAGGGACTGGAATGATTAAGAGTCTATTACTATTGCTAGCATTTAAAATTTTAAATGGAGCTTTAGAAAAGTAAACAACTAAATAGAGAGAGAGGTTAAATGGAATTTACTGATTCATAAACTAGAACAAAGCCTCGCCCACTTTCTATAAATTTGATAAGGCACAGATTTAAATGTCATAAAGCAGTAACAGCATCAAGCTCAGAGTCTGGTGCCTAGACACTACTCAGTAAATATTCATTAAATAAATGACATATTTTTATATAAATTTCAAATTTCATCTCACTAAATATTGGTGCAATAACCATGGGGATACGATGGAAGGCTTGAAGAATTACTTAGCAGATTCCACAGTGGTTTCAGAGTATCATTAGCAGAGGGTGTGTGTGTGCGTGTGTATGTGCATGTGTGTGTGCGCGCGCATGCACATGCATGCCTGAGGAGTCATGTTAGAAAGAGGAAATAGAAGATTTGTCTTGAAAGAAACTCTATCTGCATAGTAAATAATACTAGTATTTTTGCCTACATTGTATATGAGAAACCAATTAATGTAGTAAAGTTATTTAAAAAACTTTTACTTATATTTCAACTAAGATTAAGAAATTACTCATTGTCTATATTAAAAATTAGTATTTTTGTTTAACTTAGTTTTGGAAGGTGATGAAGATTCTGGAAAGGTAAAAGCCATTCTCCCACCAAGATACCCACTAGAGCCACCATTCCTCAGATTCCACATATGTTATAGTTTTTGCCCTTGGTGATTCTGTCAATCATCATAAAAATATGCAAAAACTCTCCGTCTCTGTGATGCCCCTGGTTAACATTCGCATGGAATAACAAGACATGGTAGTGGCTGTAGGGAAATACTTCTGATATGACATGTGAACAGTCTGCTACCAATTACGCTTCATCCTGGCAATGATTTGTTCTCCATGAGTACTTCCACATTTTAGTGTCTCTGTGTCTCTACCTCAGATGTCGCTCAGTTCTCTCTGTATTGTGCTTCCAGAAGGAAAGAATATTCCATTCATTTTAGTCCAGAACTGGTCATTTCCAGTCCAAAAAAAAATGTGCTCCCATCAGAGAAACACTTATACCAAAACACTTTTTTCTTCCTGGATGCAGCTGTTCAGCTTATATCAGTAATCATTTTAGGCCTGTCAGTCCCAGGCTACTACACTTGTGATGCTCTTAAAGTACCGCATCTGGACCAGAAGCCAAACTGCAGGTGAGGGCGGATCCAGCTTTCTCTTAGCTGGCAGGTCCTGCAAGTGCCCATGGGGGGGCCTTGGGGCAGGAGGAGAGGATGACAGGTTGCCTCTAGCCCACATTCTCTGCAAAGAGAATGCTGTCTGCAGCCTTGTTAGAGGCAGAGACTCTTCCCGCAAGAACTGCAATGTAGACAGACCTGAACACCACCCCCTGGTTTGTGCACAGCCATAGAACCACAGGAGATTTCGGCTCGCAGTGACAATGTTTCTGTTGTTGCAACAGGTATATATGATGTACTGTGTATAGACACCTTTCAGGACAGGTTGGCAAATAGGAATAATGCCCAGGCCTGCGATGTGCCAAAAATGACCTCAGAATTATCACAACATTCCTCTCCACTTGGTTCTTACTGCTGCTTATGAATGTGAAATCAGTACTCAGATAAACTGATACACATTTTCAATGGTCTTCCTTCAAAAGAAACAACATTGAGCTCAGATTTATAAAAACTTAAAAAGAGCAGATTGATAATGACCCATTCTGCTGCTATTTCACTGTACAAAAGCTGCTCCTGCCTCCCGGGTTAGTTGAATATTTGTTCAGTGCCGTCTGCATTCAGAGCCCTTCAACTCCCTCTGTCTCTACTTTATTATTATTATTATTATTATTATTATTATTATTATTATTAATTTCAGAGAGGAACAGAGAGGGAGAGAGAGATAGAAGCATCAATGATGAGAGAGAATCACTGCACGCCTCCTGCACACCCCACACTGGGGATTGAGCCCACAACCCGGGCATGTGCCCTGACCGGATATTAAACTGTGACCTCCTGGTCCACAGGTCGATGCTCAACCACTGAGCTGCACTGGCTGGGAGCTCTTTCTCCCCTTTTGTTTATGGCAAACCGCCAAGTGAGTAACCTAGTGTTACCTTCTTGGGTGTTGCTATGAGTGTCTAAGAGTAGTTAAAAGTAAGATGTATGTAAACTGCTTTTCTGGGTTGTGTCACTTAGAAGCTGCACATTTTACAAATTTGGATTATATCTTCAAGGAAATATAGAAACATTCACTTCTCGGCCTCAAATGTTGGCTTCCTTCAAGGTATTTCTGATTGAAATCTTGTCCTTAGAAGTCAGCACACAGACAGTCCTGCCTTTGCCATCCTGCGTCTGATGGCATGAGGAGGCAACCTCACTGTGACCCGGCCGTGAAAATGGCCCTTCTGTCTGACCTTTCATTGCTCCCTGTTAGGGCTGATTGGACACTGCTGGGCCCCCCAAGGTGGTTGTATTCTAAGGACAAAAGAGCAGGTTCTCCAGCTGATCAACAAAATACTGTTGAAAAGGCCAAAACCAGCGTCTTTTCTGTAGCTTCCACTGAGCCACCCACAGCAGACACAAGTCCACTTACAGCAACTGGCACCTTGGAGCACTGTCCTGCTCTAGGTGCAGTGACATTTTTTTTAATGATGAAAAAATAGGGAATTTTAATAATGTTGATTATTTTACCCTCGTAAATTAATTTGGGGCAAACTACCTCCTGCTACATAATTAGATTATAGAGCTGCTTACTAGATTTTTAAAACGTAAAACACTAGGAGTTTTTTTAAGTAAGAATTTTAAAATAAGATCCTCCCCCCACCCCACCAAATGACTGACTTTTCCCATCTTAACATTTTTATTGATTTTTCAAATTGATTTTTAAAGAGAAAGGGAGGGAGAGGGAGAGACAAACATGAATGTGAGAGCAAAATATTGATTGGTGCCTCCTACATGCCCCCTACTGGGGCTCGATCCCACAACCCAGGCCTGTGCCCTGTCCAGAAATCAAACCAACCACCTTTGAGTGCACAGGACAAGGGCCACCAGGGTGCCCACCAGCCAGGGCTCCTATCTTCAGTTTGATAATTTCATTTCTAAATCAAGTTTTATCTTTCTTTGACCTTTAAATTACAATTTCATCTTTACTCTGTAATGACACGTTTTCTCCCAAGTACAATGAAGAATAATGCTAGAAAGTGAGTGGTTAAAATGAAAATGTCTGATACTTTCAATGTGCTGTATTTAAAAAAAAACACATATTATTTTAGTCAGAATGGGATCATTTAAGCTATAGTGACAAATGAATCCCAAAATCTCAGTGCTTAGCACACTATTTTTTTAAATTTTTTTGTTACAGGACATGCTGTGAATTACAGATCAGGAACTGATGAGAGCTCCATCACCCAGCCGAGCCACTGCAGTGAGCTGTGCCAGCCTCGGGAGACATCTATTCTTGTGTTTTGGCCTAAATTGAAGATACAGCCCTTCTGCTCACAGCACGTGGGCTGGGACCTGTCGTGTGTCCTCATGGGGCTGGAATGTGAGTGATGTGGATGCTCCATAACAACAGGTGCTTCAGCCGCAAACATTTATGTCAGTGTCTTTACTTAAGCACATCACCTTGAGATGCTTCTAGTCTTACCATCCTATATAATAAAGAGGTAATATGCAAATTAATCCTCACACCCTCACAAGATGGCTGCCTACAACCAGGCTGGCAGGGGGGTTGGTGAGGGATGACCAAATGACTGAAAAGCAGGCTGCATGGGGCAACCAGGCCGATGGGGGGGCAGTTGGGGGTGGCCAGGCCAGCAGGGGGGGCAATTGGGGGTGACCAGGCCAGCAAGGGGGGGCAGTAGGGGGCAACCTGGCCAGTAGCGGGGGGCAGTTAGGGGAGACCAGGCCGGCAGGGGGGACAGTTAGGGGCAATCAGGCCGGCATGCAGAGGCAGTTAGGGGCGACCAGGCAGGCAGGCAGGTGAGCAATTAGGAGCCAGCAATCCAGGATTGTGAGAGGGATGTCTGACTGCTGGTTTAGGCCCAATTCCTGGGATCAGGCCTAAACAGGCAGGCAGACATCCCCCAAGGGGTCCCAGATTGGAGAGGGTGCAGGTTGGGCTGAGGGCCCCACCCACCCATGCACGAATCTTGTGCTCGAGGCCGTTAGTTAGTAATAACACAGGATCCAGGCATCATTTCCCAATTCTGATTGGGAGGGGCTCCAATGCCCTCATTTTACTCCTCTGGAACCTGAGCTTAAGGAGAGCAACATGTGAGTTCAGGTCATTGGGGGACCAGACCCAAAGCAGAGTGAGGAGTAGAAGAAATGCATTGGGGTGACTCCTGTGAAGCGTAAAGGGGAGAGGGAGCTCTAGAGCATTGACCTGCGGACTGAAAGGTCCAGGGTTCAATTCCTGTCAAGGGCATACACCTTGGTTGCAGGCTTCTCCCCAGCTCGGGCCTTGGTTGTGGCGTGTGCAGGAGGCAACCAATCAACATGTCTCTTTCACATCAATGTTTCTCTCTGTCTTTCCCTCTCTCTCCCACTCTCTCTAAAAGTCAATAGAACGTATCCTCTGGTGAGGATTAATGATAACAACGGCGGGGGGAGAGGGGCAGGAGTGGGCACAACAAGTGGCTGGGCAGTCTTGGAGGTGGACACCTGTGGGCCAGGAAAGAAGAGCAGCCTCACAGTCCCACTCCCAGCAGCTCTGGGTCCCGCCGCCCTCAGAGAGCTCCCGGGAGGTGGCAGCAGGGAGGCCCACTTGGGGTAGAAACGGCGGGCCTAGCACCCAGGCTGTGCTTCGTCCTCAGCTGGGAGCTCACGTTCCTGGCTCTTAGAGGGAGAGATCCACAGGCCCTGCAGCCATGGTTGTGGCTGGCAGCTCTGCTCCAGCAGCTTCCTGGGAGGGCAGGACCCGCAGGTGCTGCCTGCACAGGAGGGTCTGCGAGCAGCCCCTGCTCCCGCGGCTGCAGCTCTCAGACACTCTGCAAGCGCTGCCACCAACAGCAGCACTTTGGATGTAATTACTTTACTGTTAAAAATAAAGAAGAACATCAAAATAAAGCTTAAAATGCAACAGGGAGAAATATTGAGGTCAGGTAGTCATGAGATCACAAGTTCAGCCTCTGTTGCTCTGTGACCTTGGCCTAGGCAACCAGCCTCTCAGCACCTATTCTCTTTGCTAAGTCAGATGATTGGACTAGATCCGTTGTCCTCAAATTTTATTGTGCATCAGAATCACCTGAAAGGCTTGTAAAAACACACATTCCTGGCCCCAGCCCCAGAATTCCTGTCTCAGGAGATGGAAGTGGGGTTGCAAATTTGCATTTCGGACAAGTTCCCAGCACTACTGCTGGTTGAGAGCCTACACCTTGGAAGCCACTGGGCTGGGTGCTCCCAAGGCCACTCCAAACTCAGAAGTACTGTGTCCTTGCGATTCGGCAACATCACTTCCAAAGTATTGCCACAGTTATTGATGCCAGCAGTATAAGCGAGAACAATGGTGCCTTTGTTACTATCTATGTAGTACCTGCATGGATAACCTATACATTACATTAAAATAGCTAATGATGCTTACCAAGTACCTTTATTATGCTAAATACAAAGAAGATATTCTTTATGTTTGAAAAGAGACTAATGAAAATAACAACCTCATCCACATTCACAGCCTCATCATCAATGTAACAGCTTTTATTGATGACACCATGTCCTGGACCTGTGCTAGCTAGCTACAGTCATTACCTCTGTAATATACAAACATGATTAGAAACTATATACAAACTTTACAACACAGAGAGAGAAGCAAATGGGCTTCAGAGCAGACGGAGAAGATAGGGATGGGAAGAAGGAGTGGTCTAGTTGGAGCATGGAGAGCAGTTTGATAAAGTCTCAGCATAGACTAGAGGTGTTTTGGGGAAAGGGAGGGGGTGCTGTTTGTATGGGTAAGAGAAAGAAATAGAGTAAGTTAAGACATGCAGTTTAAAGTAGTGGATTTAATGCATTTGACAACTGCAGCTTAGAACAGCCTGGACTGTACCATCTGGATTTACTAGTCAGAATTAGAAGACAACGAAAAGGA